TGATAGACGCTTCCATCACATATACAGGAACCAAAGTATTGCTCTTCTTAAACTACTTAAACTAACTAACTTAAACAACTTCTTAAACTAACTAATGAATGTTGAACTTACCCATTCTCATCAACGTGCAGCCAATGTCGATATTGTTCAAACGCGGCAAACTGTATTGCAGCATAAGGCATTACGCGAACCATAGTGGCAGAGTTGCCACGAAATAAAGCGAAAAACCCGTGTTCACGATATGTTAGAATGACGAATTTTAAGGCAGATTTAAACGAGTATCCCCGAGTAGTCGACACTGAAATCAACACGTTAAGGACGCACGCGCAATACGTGAGGTTATAACCGTAGACCGGCACTTTAAAATGTTACCTACACTTTAAAGACTCCGAAATACGGACCTCGCCCCTAATCTTATTGAAAAGATTGTTGGAAACAATACAGTTAAATATAGAGCGAAGCTAGTCCTTCTATTGCCACCCAACCTGCTCAGAGGTGTCTTTTACTTAGTTTTTAGTACTTTAATTAGTTTCATTAAGTAGGACCTCAAAATTCCGTCAGCGTACCACAAGCACGCTGGTGAAAAGCATGATCATTGCGTATGTAATAACTTGATATACTGTACTGATTACATCCCATGACTACGAAACTGTGACACAAATTAGCTTCACGTAAACATTTGTTTTTGTCCATCTTTGTTATACACACAGTGATCGGATGAAATGGGAAAGCAAATGGCTTGAAGAACAAACCTTGAAAGTAGATCTTCGTCCGATCGAGGGGTGCGATGGTGGTTTTCGCAACAGCTCCGGCAATCGCTCCACCGAGTAGTGAAGATACGACACTGGGTCGGTCCTGTAAACACGTCTCGTCAGATATTTTGTTTATCCCGGTTTAAAACAATAATGGCTAAGCATCTGCTTCTTGTACGAAAAAACAAAACGATAGAACACAATATGTGGGCTCAGCTTTAGGATTTAAACACGAAGGAGTGATGGGGAGGGGGGGGAAGTGCTGCAATATTGATCCCGCCTATATGTCAAATTTATCTGCAAGGAAAGAAAGCTCCGCGTTACCTGAATTCTTTCGCTTTTGCTTTCACATGCACCCAATGCTTTTCTCAAAACAGGACATCATTACAGGCGGACCAAACTTTTGCACAACATGCCCCCCCCCTACCTCTATGGAGCTCAGTGTTATCTATGCACATTACCAATGGTAAGCTGGATCAATCAGTTTCTATAACAAATAGCAATTTTGCTCGGCTGAGGTCTTCGGGGATATTTCAGCATAACTTTATGAGGCGAAAACCCATGACATTGGGAATGGCGCAACATGCCATATTCCGTGCTAACTCCGCGGTACACCGTGGAAACATGTAAAGACCGATGGTATGATAGGATTGAACGATGAACACATGAATGAAAAAATTAAGGAATCTTCGGATGTACTCTTCCTACACCCGCTATGGTTCTTCATTTATTACCAGATTGGTCCCCCGGCAAGCGCCGGAACCTCCCTACCTTGCGTAAGCTTTCCCTTCTCCCTCCTCTCCTTACTCACCCCTCGTTCTCCTCTGCTCGCCGGCTACCACAGCATCACCTTGTGGAATGACCGAAAGTGTGCTAAGTGCGTGTTTATATAGCCGTTCTGGGTTATCACAATCATGCTTGTGCAAAACATTGATAGCGCAAATCCTGCGAGCTACCCAGATTTGTTGGCGGCTTGTTTATTCCGTTAGCTGCCTTATCACTCACTCACTTCATTTTGCGGACGGACACACATACATACATACATACATACACACACATACAGACATACAACCGACACACAAAGTTCGCTTTTATAAAATAGAAGGAAAGGATAGCTAGACATTAGTCGTTCGTTGCGACTGCCCTGTACTTCGTTAGTACCTCGAATGTGCAATAGATACGCATCGATTATGTATTCTTGCGATCGTGCGATGCAGAAACACATAATTGAGACGTATCCACTCCATGGAAAGCCTGGCACCAATCAACGAAGCAACCGACTGCGCTCCTACAGTCTCTCGATTATATTTGCGAAGATGTGGGCCAGCGGAGCGGAGACATTGTGAAAAGTCAAGCTGTCAAAGCTTAACGCCTTGTTTAGACTAAGCGAGTGCTTCCTATACTTTCTGCACTTCCCACCCATTTCTGAGCGATTCTACTGCCACAAATGGGTGCGTATCAATCACAAGAATCGTTCAAACAACTGGGCGACACAAATGAAAGGAGTGCCCCTATCCTTCAGCAGAATCGCTCGATCGCCCAATCGTGCCATTGCTGAATTAGGCTGGTGTCAGAGTCCGCGATCCGCCGCAGGTTTCGCTGATTTTCGCGAAACCTGCGATGGATCACAGGAGTTGGAAGTGCCTGATGAATACTGCGATGTGTTGTTTAATCCTGCTGCGAATTCTGCTTGCAGTAAAGATTGGAAGACGAATGTTTGTGGTTCTACTTGTTTCATGTTCAATGTCTATTAGTTCATTGAAATGCTCTTGAATCGTTCCTTTTTTCAGGAATCAAACCAAACCAATCACAAAAATTGCAAGTGCCCCATTTGAACAATTGAAACACTGGATATGAAACAAGTGGAATCATGAGCAGTCTCCATTAAACCATAACCATCAAGCAGAAGTGACGGCGGGATTGGAGAACACCTTGCAGTATGGATGGGGCACTTGTAATTTCCGTGACCCGTCGCTGTCGCGAAAATCGCGCGACCATCGGCGAAAATCAGCGAACCCCTGGCGGCGGATCGCGGACTCTGCCAGCCTTAACCGCGTGTTCCGTAATCTAGTGTAATAAACTGGTGTTTTCCAGCATCTGAATATGCGTTGTACGAGCGCTCAACAATAAGAAGGCCCTAACACTGAATAACCTATGGACATCAAACTTTTGTCAACGGTAGATTTTTTCCGGCACTCCCCCACCCCCACATTCCGTTATCACATTCGGGCATGTTGAGGACGAAGAGACATAGAGATCAGCACATAGACAAACTAGCACAGGTATGTTAGTGATGCGTATAGTAAAAGACAATATCAACCTACCGGAAGATGTTCAGCAGCTTGAAATAAAATAATTGTCCGGTTTTTGAAAAATTTGTATTTTTGACTTGCGGGGTGGGGTGCCTGCACATTTTGATTCCATTCTGCTCTCCCCTGTTGCGTAGTGGATGCGCATGGCGACTGCATTAATATTTGTGATTTCAACCAGCGTTCAAAGTTAGCATTTCTTCTCAACCATGCAAATCTAGTGAAATTTACCGATTCCATAAGGGAGGAAGGATTGGTTACCCTGAGAGGGACACAATTGTAAGGTTTTTGCTTGCACAATTCGGCGCCGCTAATCCCCGCGTCGTCCCAGACCTTTTCCATTCAAGTCCTATTCGAAGGACAGGGCGCTCGGAGGTAATGAAATCTCCTTGAGAGCTCGTCGAGCTTCGCCTCCGAAAACTCGAATATACCGCGTAATGTATAACATGTCTGTATCAGCATCCTTCAAGATACTTTGCATTACTTCGAAAACGGTCGTGATTGGTGATGCAGCGGCGAAGCTCTCCGGGGGACACTCCAAACAGGGTCTTATAAAAGCGCCGCTGTCGCTACTAGTCAGCCTGAGTGAGCAAATATGAGCTCTACAACCCACCGAAACCACAACCCTAACAGAAAAGCCATCACTTCCAAACGTACACTTCCCCAGCACTACATTTGAGAAACTCTAAAACTGTTCTATTACTGCAGCACGAGACAACCTGAACAAATTTTCAATGGTTCCATGGATGAGTTGGGAGTTTCCATCAAAAATCAAAGAGAACGCTTCACTCACACGATTGCGTTTGCTGTCCTGTCCCTCGTTGACATTGGTCAAGGTGGTCGACATGGTCGTAGTAGAACTTCCACGACGACAGGGTTAGTGGATGTTCGGTTATGGTTCACCACTTTCTCCCCTGAAATATTAGTCTAATCAATTTGATGTGATCGATTTCCTTAGTTAAGGTAGACGCAAGACGAGTTGACTGTTGCTATTCGGAGTTAGTATGAATCTTGCGTCTACCAAAGAATTATGAGCGATTTCTTCTTGAAAATAAGAAAATGTGCCCAAAAGGCGCCGTTTAGGCCGCGCTTATAGTTTCTTGTCTGACGATCTCTCGTGGAGTAGATACGTATCGATCGTCAAGATTGCATGATCGATACTTATCCACTCTACATCTTCAAAACAAGCTGCAAAACGGTCGCAAACTATGGACGCTTCCTTGTGTATAACCATTGAACATATTGTATTGATTCCCATTGCGTTTTTGTGGTCTTTTGTTTCCGGATTTTACTCCCCTTCTGTTAACAACTGCAGCTTCTCTATATCCCCAAGAAATTTCTCAGCAGAATTATACATCTAGCAACACCTATGTGGAATGATATAAAAGGAACAGAGGAATCCAGTCCAACAAATATTAAACCACAACTAGGAAGAAAACCACCTGTCGAGTGATTTAAAGGATAGTGATCAAAATAGACTAGCTAGATACTACCCCTTTAAGGGATAGCTGCGGTTTCCTTTGACGCTTTATTCAACTTGACAAACTACAACGGGCTAAAAAACTGAGCCATTTTTGCAATCACAGTAACATCAAAAATATATACGACGACGAGCACATGTGTACTTGGAGCGGTAATTTTGTGCGGACAGCCCAAGGTATTTGAAAACTAATAAACATTTTCCCACTACGAAGGTTCAAAAAGCCTAAAAAAAAACCCTCGTCTTAGCTTTCTTCTCGCAAAAGAGAGCTGATTTACCCACATGGAGCGTACACCCCTTCCCAAAATTGAGATTGATGCAGGTGGCACGAACTACATCAGCAAAATGCCCCCTCCAACTACAATAGCACTCAACGACGTGACCTGATGACATATAAATTCGAAAATATTCCCCGGACGACCAACTCAGACAGCTTGGTGAACAAGGGCTCTCCAGTGCATGCTTCCGAAAACAACCCGTCAAAGTAATTTTCGGGGCACCTACTTGCATTCTGGGACAGTACTAACCGCCGTCACTGGAAAACCGCAGCCCAGAGATGTGCGCCTCTTGCATGAATGGAAGGGTTTATCAGCAAGTAACAAGCGTGCGGCCTAGGGATCACTGATAGAATCTCTACCAGGACAACCTAGCCCTCTACAACTCCAGAGTCTGAAGGTATCAACCTATACGGTCGAATACGGTTATGCGCATGGCCCCTCCAAGTCACTGTATAGACCACATTGCATTCCATTTCGCAGACCCTCCAAAATGGAAATAATCGATGGTGCTTCACAGAATGAAATTGATTAGCGGCGGCATTCCTTCTGCTTTTACCAAACTTTTCTTGGCAGCTGCCATTTGCCATTTCCTGCGTACTCTTAGGATTAGCGGTTGACTTTCTTTACTAGTGTTCTCCTCACCTTCACTCTCGACTGCAACACTTTGTGGGACGACTAACAGTGAACTCTGTGCGTATTTGTATTGCAGCTGGGGGTATTATCAAAACAATGAC